GGCGTCAATTAGCTGATCTATTAACAAAGGGGCTTCCTTCAGACAGATTTCAAGAACTTACTAGCAAGCTGAGAATGATAAATATCTACTCCTCAACTTGAGGGGGAGTGTTGTAAATAATATTGATTATTTAGTTTTTATTTAGTCATTTATTGTTGTATTGGGCCAAGCCCTTTGTTGTATTGGGCCAAGCCCATTAGGTTAAAAGTAGGTCAAATATTCTCTATAAATAGAGAACCCTTTGTACACATTATTTACAATTCTATAATATATTATAATACTCTTTTTCAAGTTAAAATCCCTACAAAGTTTTTATCACCACCATATGTTTTCTTTTTACTTTTTTTCATTTGTTGTTTTGAGGGGTGTTAATTGTAAGGGTAATACTTTTCTCATTTTACATGAGATAAAGATTACTTCTTACAGACAGAATAAATGAGGAGAAAGAAAAAAAAAATGTAGTGAGAGAAGAAATTTGCAATGGGACCCACGTCTAAATATGTGTGTAGGAATGTTTTGATCTCTCATGTAAAAAGAGCAATGTTGTTAAAATCGAAATTTTAAGTAAAATCGGAGGAGGATTAAAAAATCGTAAAACATAAAATCGTAATATAAAAAAGTCGTAAAAAATCGTAAAAACGTAAAAGCGTTTGAAATATTGATAAAATTATTTTGATAAAAAAAAATCGTAAAATCGTAATAATAAATCGAGATTTTAACAGCTATGAAAAAAAGAGAGACATTAACCTCTAATTCTAAACATATGTATAATCACTTTTATATCTACTGAGTCGGTGCATGAATCACAGATTTGGATCCCCTGAAGTTCAACTGCAATGCATAATTTTTTTTTTTTTTTTTTAAATCATGTAACCACCATTTCTCTTAATGTTAAAAGTGTAGAGCATGTGCTCTATTTTTCCTAGTAGTATCTTTGGAATGAATTTAAAGTCTTAATTTCATGTAAAATGGTGTGGACAAGATTTAAATGCATTCTTCTTGTGTTTCTGTTTTTAATACTGAATTACGTACTCTTTTTGCAATAGGTTCCTCCCACACTATTTTTTTTAAATCTCCTAGTGATTTTATGTTACATGAGAAATGTATTTTTGCTTCTTCACGATTTCACTTATGATAATTGTATAATTTAGTTAATTTTATACTCATGATAATTGCACGATTTAAATTCAAATATATAAATTCTTCGTTAATCAATAATATGTAACCTCGTTATAAATTATTATTTAGTTGCTTAACTTTAAATGAAGTGACTTTCCCACTTTCCTAAAATTTATCACCATTAAAAGAAAGAAAGAAACGTTACACCTAACCACTGAACACATTAGCATAGTTGCATGGTTAATGATTGGTGGGTACAATAACTTAGATAAAAGAAAAAATTAGAACAGGTTTGATTTTTATTTTTATTTTTATTTTTTTGGTAAATAATTTTTTTTTTACATCAAATAAAATTCACTCAAAATTCTTGTGTTGAAAATTTTGAGCATACTTTTTTTTTTAGAGATTAATGTCTCTCGTGTGATATAGGGCCTACATATGGGGTTTATATTATCTTTTTTCTCTCTTCTCTTTAGATGATCCCACAAGAGCTGCCGTACACATTTATGTATGTGTAGAAAATAAAATTATCTCTTATAACATAAAAAATAATAATCTTTTTTGAAAAAAGTAAAATAAATTAAAGAACTTATTAATCTCATGTTATTGGAGATATCTTGGCTCATATTATAGAGATAAATATATGCGGTCTGTCTTTTATAAAAAAATAAAAATAAAGAGACTCACATATTTATCTCTATAATATAAGAGAAGATATTCCTAACAACAAAATATTTTTCCATCAATTATTCCGGTAAACTAAAATATAAATTAAAAAAGAAGACCTTTTCTTTCATCATTTTTTGAATATTAAAACAAGAGTTATATTTATTTTATGTTATAGAAAAGTATTTATCTTATATTATAGAAATAAAATTATAAGTGAAATTCATATATAAGAAGAGATAGAAAAATAAATGTAAAATTCACCTCGACGTACAAGAGGCCGGTGCCACCTAATCTACGATTACTCTAGGGTAGACCTTTTCCAATTCCAGGTTTTGGTCTCCCTTTTTTGTGTTTTTATTTCCTTACATGTGTAGTAGTAGGTATCCGTCTAACTCCTCACTGTAGTGTGTTCGAACAATTTTCAGTTTATCATCGAATCTAAATATTATAAGGTATCAATGAATTTCAAGTTATTATTTTCCAAAAAGACAAGGTTTTTCTTGTCTCTTTCCGTATCTTTTAAAGGAGTTCAAATTATTTGATAAGATGATTCAGGAATCCAATATAAAAGTGCCAAATTTGATCTTATCTGTTACTACTGATGGGGAGATGCTTTTAAAAGTAAAGGGGTATTTACTTTTAAATTTAACAATTAAGATTATTTTAAATTAAATTAAGAGTAAGTTATTTTGTGACTATTGTAATCAACTTCTCTCGATCAATAAATTTCATTTTCTTCTTTTACCACTCTTTTATCCAATTTTCTCTCTTTAGCCATATGTATACGTTTCACAATGTACAGCAATAAGTAATACAAATAGCCTGGTAGCTCTCCGCCTACCTTACATTATTTTATTAAAAATAAATAAGAATTAGTGTTTGTATTTTTAAATAATATATATATATATATATATATATATATATATATAGGAAAAGTATATGTCCTTTAAAAGGACACATACTTAGGGCCTGTTTGGTGTGACGTATAAGGCATGATAGTATAAGTTTATACTATACGTTATGACATTTTTAGTTGTTTGGTGTGACCACCGTATAGTATAAGCCTATACAGCATAATTTCTTAATACATCAAAACGATGTATAACTTAATCCGGCCTAAGGGTAAGTGATAAGATCTGATAAGAGATTGATGTATTAACATCGTTGACCAATGTAATTTTCAAAAATTAATATATTATTTTAATATTAATCTATTAAAATAAAAATTTATTTTTCAATATATTAATTTTTTAAATATTGAATACTTTTATTTTTATAAAAATTAATTTATATTTTGGACACACTGATCAATAAATTTTTATAAAAATTAATATCATAAGACATTTTTTGAAGAATTATATAAATTCTTTATTAAAGGATATTTTTATTAAAAATATTTATTTTTATCATATATAGTATTATACAGTGCATTACCAAATACTAGATGATATTATCTTATACAATATATTATTTTATACAATACCGTGCCAAACGCTTGATAGTATTAAAATTCAATCAAGTCTTATACAATCAGGCTTTATACTATCAGGTCTTATCTTATACTATGCACCAAACATTGCCCTTAAGTCATTTGAGGAGAGAGGTAAATACAAAAAGATGAGATCCATACTTTTATTTTTTATTTTTTAGTGGAATCTACATCTCTTTGCATCTATCTCTCTCATAAAATGACCTAAGTGTGTATCCTTTAGAAGGACACACACTTTTATATATATATATATACATATATATATATATATATATGTATATATATATATATATATATATATAGGAGTAGAATATTGTGACAACCAAGTAGGATTACTATCATGTTACTACCCATCAATTTCAACGTTTGATGGCTATTTTGATCCGACGGTCCTGATTTCATCAATATATACCCGTCTCTTCCCTTCTCACTCTGACTATACTCTCTGCACTCTACAGTCTCGCCGCGCCGTTAATCTGTCTGAGTTGTGCGCTCCTCTCAAGAAGATAAAAAGTTCACATCTTAAATCAATGATTATCCATAACACATGATAAATAGTTCACATCTTAAATTCGATTCGCACATAATAATCAGTATATATATTTTGGCGCCTCTAATCAAGAATAAAAATAAAACTCTATAGTATTAGTCGCTTCCATTTGATCAAGTATAAAAAAAAGCAAAATTCATTGATGGGATTTTTTTCTCTTAAACATAGCAACAAATTTCATTTGGAAGGAAAAAAACAAATCAAAGTAATATTAGAGTTAGGGATTAAAAATTAGAAGTAATCTGCATCAATCTCAATGGGATAGGGGCCAACAATTTTTATTTTTTTTTACTGTGTCGATTTCGGCACTGACGTCGCTAGCGGCGTTGATAGCTTTTTGTTATTATGCACGAGGAAGATGGAAGCATCTTCTTTATTGTAGGAGTGCTTTATTTGTTGATTGATTTTGTATTTTATTGGCCCTTAAAGAAAAAGCAAACACATAAGAAAATACTAGACCTAATCGGTTAAAACATTATTAAATGATTGTGATCTATATTCAAATAATCTAGTGTTAATCCAGCACCACATTCCCGCCAAACTAAGTGCATAAGATGATGTAAAACATCATAATCTAAACACCTGGCCTGTCATTAAAAAGTCTTAATCCAAAAGCACTTTAGAATTATCATCTCTTAAGATATGGATTTTTCCTATATGAATCTGATAGCATGCAAAAACGATTTCATCAAAGTTCTATACGCTTTTATGATTTTTTATAAAAAAATTTACATTAAGATTTTATATTTTACGATTTTTTATCCTCCTTTTGATTTTAGGTAAAATCACGATTTTAACTATCATGGTCCAGGCAACGAGGATATATCCAGAAACCTCTTATTTGGGCACTAAAATGTCGATCATATTGCTGATGAATCGAACAATTATTAACATATTTAGATATTCACAATCAGCGGACTTAGGATAAGAATGTAAAATTAAATCTCAATAAAAAGCTCTTACTAAGAAACCCCATAACCCTCGATTCATACATACTCTAGCAAACAAATAGAGGTTAGTATTTCAGATGGTTCAAATTAAATAAAAAATGATAATATCTAAATATAGCCAGCTGAGGGTAACAATGGCACATTCTGCTACACGTTTAGCCACTTAGTTCATTATGTTTGTAAGGTCAAAAACAAATCGTCAATGCCTAGACAAGAGCCTCACTCACGAATAAATCTTTAGTACTACTGCTTCATTATGTTTATAAGGTCAAAAACAAATCGTCAATGCCTAGACAAGAGCCTTACAAAGATTTATTCCTCACTCACAGGAAAAATTCCTTGTTATCTAACCCCAAGAAATAAGTATAGCTAGGATAACCATGCATCACAAGCTTGTTTCTAGCACTAGACCAACCCCTTGAGTTATATATATAGAATCAATCATTCATCTAAAAGTTTCAACCGGTTCAGATTCTTCAAGAAAGTGTGCTGCCTGAAAACATTCTGTAGCTTCTACTAATGATGACACTGTACCCTCAGCCTTGTGAAGAAGGCCAAGATTATACCAAGCAGAAGCACTCAATCTATCATGCCGTATTGCATCCATCAGAAAGATTCTTACTGCAGGATTTGATTGATCACTGCATCGTCTAAGAACTACGGCGGTGGAGATTAAGCTGAGGACATGGCCAGGATCAATGTCCAAAGCATCACGGAAAGCTTTTAGAGCCTCTTTGTAAAGGCCCTTTGCTTCATACATTCTACCTGTGAAATTTAACAAATACAATTTTCACATGTATACATTGGTTAGTTTATCATGCTATACTATGCTTTGATTTCTGATGCTGTTATATTTTGTATTTTGTGGAATATGTTTAATTATGCATGTACACACAGGTTAGTTTATTACTATAAAGAACCTTGGGATACACCACCCCAAAAGCTAGCTCAAAGGATAGGAGTGCCCAAGGCCTTATAAACTCCACATTAGTTGCTCTTCAACGACTATATATCTTAACACGCCCCCTCACGCAAGAGCCCTCTTGGCTTGAAGCGTGGATTATGCAACAGGCTCAATATTTGGTTTACCTTTTTTGTGCTTCCACTTTAAAGTGGGGGGCGGTGAGGATCGAACCTCAAGCTCTGATACCATGTAAAGAACCTTGGGATACACTACCCCAAAAGCTAGCTCAAAGGGTGAGAGTGCCCAAGGCCTTATAAACTCCACATTAGTTGCTCTTCAACCAATGTGGGACTATATATCTCAACACCATAACATAAATTTTTTGAAGTATGTTAGATCTATTTAATTGGGAAATAGATACTCGTGTTATTTAACATGACCATAATATGTGAGAGAATCATAATCATTCATGGTTAGATCAACGATGATGAGAGATGAGAGAAAAAAAAAATAAGAATAGGTAGTGATAAAATCATCATCATTGATCTCTCTCACATGACACGGTCATGTTAAATAACACATGAGAGGATCCACTCTCATTTAATTGTTTTATTGCCTTGCTTCACTAAGGTTCATGCCTCATGAGTCACATCCAGTCTCTGTGATCTCTTGGCACCTCAATGCACACAACATATTACATAGCTATAAATATAGAATACTCTATTTATTAAACAATATCTGCAAATTATTTTCAAGTGATTATAATCAGTTGGCGTCATTTTCATATCAGGAAAAAAAAAATTGAATGGAAAAACAAGATACTCAATGATAAAAATCATATATATTTACCTAATGCATGACATCTAGAAGCAGAGTATGGTTTGATGGCCTTAGATTTTGAAAGACACACCTCCGCATCATGCCACTGTAAAAGACTGATGTATATATTAGCAAGATCGTGCCATATTTCCACTTCCAAGTTCCTAGCACGATCTCTATTGTCCTGTCACAAAAAGTATGGAAAAAAGTGTAAGCAGCTAGAAGCAACTCATCTTATTGCACAAGTAAAATTAAAAAGTATTAAAAAAGAAAAGAAAAAAACTTAAAGAGAGAAACAGTATGAAGAAAATGTATCCACATTCAATAATGTTTATATTGGAGCAGGAGTTGAATTTTGAATTTTCAAATACAAGCAACCATCTTAAAAATTCAACCTTAATAATAATTGCATATGCCTTGCATGACATAAACTTCGATTATCTCTGTGAACTCATTCATTCACTAAGCATGCTTCAACATTTCAAATGAGCATCATATACTTACAACCAACAGAACATTTTTTTTTCTTAAGGAAAATATAAAGCAGCCATTTAACTATGGAGCACATTCTTTCACCAAATCATTATGGCAAATCATTAAGGCAAATACAATACGATGAATTCAATAACAATCATCTCTCAACAAATCATTATGCATGGTTCCTTTGAGATCATATCAAAGTATATATATTTCAACAATGGAATACAAGTTAAAAAAGTTTTTATATCAAAATCAGTTGGCCCAACTAATGCCAATAAGTAATAACTACCAGATATTATAAAAGTCTGAATTTGTAGAGCACAGTGATCTGATCATTTATACGTCCTAGTTGAGTTGAATACTCCTTCAGGCAAAACATGCGGAAATTTTGGGTTCTAAATGGGGAGACAGAGATACAATAGAACGATATATTTGAACTTATGATCTTGCCCCTGTGATACCATCATAATATATTGACTCTTCAAGAGCATAGAACCTATAAAAATCTAACATCCTTTTAAAAGAGACGTGACTAATCATATTATTAAAAAGGGTAAATCACGATGCACAAAACTCCCCAACAAGGTGAGGGTAGCTTTACCCTTGTATTTTTCTGAAGAGATTGTTTCCCAAACTTGAATCCGTGACCTTCTAATAACAAAGGAGCAATTTTACCGTTGTTCCAAGACTAGCCCTTTTTGACTACTCAAACTATTATTTTAAGCAAATGAATCCCTTTTCAACCATGTATTACGTGGGATGGAGGAAGAATAAATTAGAAAAATCTACTTTAGTAATAAGGTAAAAAAAAAAAAGATAAAAATACCATCAGAATCTGTGTTCCTCTTCAAAATCTAAAGGAAAAATTAAAAAGAAAACTCAATTGAAGGGAAATCATACAGATTTAAAACATCCTAGTTAATCACTTTCCACAAAACTTTACAAGGAAGACATACTGACTCTCACAAAAAATATATGAACCTAGCAGTAGTGTTCCTTTAAAGGTGTACCATACTTTTTAATTTTCAATGTCATCATCAAAACGTCCAAAACTTTGAGGAACTCTACACATTCTGCTTTTTTCTTTTTCATGAAATGCCTCCATGTCAAACCAAATAATAAGATGGTCATGTTTTCAGTACTCTCACTATTACAGTTCCTATCAATATTATCGCTTTCTCAGGTACTGACCACAGGACACTTCCTTTGTTCCTAACTTCAAACCCATGATCACAAATTTCTGCAAAAGGCATATAATTCCACAAGTTCATGGGAGACTACATCCATCCAATTCCCTAACAGTAATGATCACAAGAATAAAAGCCCATGATTCAGAACTATTCAATCAGGATAAGTTATTACTACAACATACCTTATATAGCTTCTTCCCGGAACCAAAACTTTTACTCAGAATTTGAAGAACAGCAAGAAGCTGAGTATACGTCTCAATGGCATTCCTTAAGTGGCCCTGTGCAATTTGAAGTTTAGCTTTTGTTCGCAACAAATCACCCTGATCCCATTTCCCAGTCTGATCTAAAGCGGCATTGATAATAGATTCAGCATCCAAAAACCGTTTTTGAGCTGATAATATCCGAGTTAACAATAACCAACCTTTAACATTAGAACCACCTTCCAGTTTTAAAAAGCACTTTGTATAATAAAGTGCAGTATCCAACTTCCTTTGCTCTGCATATTCTAAACTGAGATGGTATAGTACAAGGGGGTCTCTCATTCTTGTCATTCTGCTAGCAGTTTCCAGGGCATGAAGTGCTTCATATTGTCTCTTAAACCTCTCAGAATCAGAAACGGCCAATTTTGAGTGTGCTGAAAGCGAAACACCAAGAAAGAAATTGGCAACATTTTCTAACTGATTACATCTGCCATCCAAGTTCTCAATCACTCTGCGAGAAAAGCTTACCCCTTCTTCTGCAAGACTAGAGTTCACAGAACATAACTTAGAAGCCATTAACAAACCTGGAACATGTTTTGGGTCCTCTCTACTACTCAGCAATTTTCTGAGAAGATCCAGTGCTACCAAGTCCCTACCTGCTCCATAATAACAAAGAGCTAGAGAATGGTAACTTTCTCTCCGAGGGATAGTCCCGGGGAGCAATTCTTCCAATTGATTGGCTAAAGCTGTCAAATCTCCTGAAATAGACAGAGCAAATGAAAGGTGGTCTAAAATTGAAGGATCCCATTCAATTCTATTTAGAGAGACTTTTCTTAACAAAATCATTAAAAGAAGTATAGCCTCTTCTATATTGTTTCTAGGTACAAATGAGCCATCCATTTGAGAACGGAGATTAGGGGGTGCTGCTTCTCCTCCACTATGTAGAAGAAAAACAACAAATTCTTTCTGAATCTTTGTTGTATTCTCTACGTCAAGATTCCATTGATGAAGGAGTGCTCGTCGGTAAGACAAAATAGCTTGACGTGGACAATCAGCAAGTTTCCATAATTCTGGTAGCAGCTCAACTGCCTTGCTCAGGGTCTCCTGCAATTTACATTCAGCACCAAAGTTATCAGGCAAGCCTTCAGGCAATGAAGACTCTACTATGTCCAGAATAACTTTACAACATTGGGCAGCTTCTGCAAGAACAATTGGAAAGATATATTAGATTATATAGCTTAGCAATTCCATGATTTTTAAAACGACAAGAATTAATAAGGAAATCCCATCTTGCTTTCCATCAGACAATTTCTGCCAAAATATCAAGATTGTGGCCACCAGGATCTCGAGGTAATCAAGTTCAAGTAAAGAAGGTAGATAACACAACTATCAGAAAAAGTGATGAGGTATATTATATGAGGGGGTGGGGGCATAGACAAACATAATCTAGAAAGCTACTATATGTCCCATTGCCATGGAAATTGGAAACCAATTATAGAGAAAAACTTTGCATAGCAAATGGCCGAAAATAAAATAATAACAAATAGAATTGCTTGTGCAACTGCATCCTCTTATGGCTTGATCATTGAAACCCATGTCAAAATATTCTCATTACAATGTAATTTAATAATTAATATTAAAAAAGATTCTAGCGTTGAGGATTTTATCATATAATGTACATAACTCCACATCCAAAACTATATAACACGTTCAAATAGCAAAATGTATGGAGACAAAAATAATTAGCATTCAAAAGAAATCTCATAGTTTTCTTTTTTTAAAAAGAAGACAAATAGCAGTTGAAATCAAATGCATGTACCAGATATCAATCACTGGAAAATAAGGTAGACCACAGGTAAAGAATATACCATTGAGCAGATTGAAAAGAAAATATGCAATGAAAACCCACAAGTTCCTTGAAGTAAAAAACAAAGAGCAAATCTATGAATCAAAGAACCAGCAAGGGTACCTTTAAACCTTTCAAGAACCTGCAAAGATTTTGCTTTTAGGAAGACTGCTTCCAATAGTAAGCCGATAGCATGTATAGACATTTGCGGTTCAGCATGATTATGGGAATGTTTCTTATTGCGTTCTCTGCTTCTGGAAAGGGCAATTTTGATCTTAGGAGTCACAATACTTATATCTATTCCCTCAAAGACATGTAAAGCAGCTACAAAATTTCCTTTCTGATATTCATATCTTCCTAGCAGAGCTCTAGCTTCCTGCATATCACAGACATATTCTTCGCTAAATAAGACTAGTAGCTATAATCACTAATTTTAAACAAGAAAAGAAAAACACACAGAGTGACAGACTTTAGTAACTCAACTTAAATTCTAAAGTAAGTACCAAACAAATGGTACTGAGAAGAAAACATCAACTCCAATACATAGATCATTGACTACTACATGAAATATAGAAACCAGTGCCTTGGTCATATATTAAATAAAATGAATTGAGATGAAGGATTCTGTCAAACAACAAGAGATAGATGCTGACTTTCCAGAACTAAGGGTGCAGACAGAAAGATCTGAAAGTAGTTTATACAACTATGAATAACCTACCAAGAAGCAACCCTGTAGACGAGCACGACTTTATTTAGTGCAGGAAAGAAATAGTTACATCTTGGGTATACACAAGCATATGTATACATTCTCTCTCTAAAGCCTACTATTAAACCGCAACTAACGAGAGTAAGGGGCGAGGGCAATCCTTAAATGCAGTCTTACCCTTGAGTATTTTCAAAGAGGCTGTATTCCGGATTCAAACTCGTGACACTTCAGTCACTAAACAACAATTTTAGCACCGCTCTAAGCTCACCCTCTTTATGGCCTAGAGTAAATAACAAAAAAATAAATCATGGAGTAAAATCTGATTACTCAATATAACAGCAAACATAAAAGGTAAGGTATTTTGATGAAGCCAACCTCATAGTTCAGGACACCACTCTCACGCAAGGATGATTCAGCTTCTTCTATATTGCCAGTGTCCAGCTTCTTGTCAAGGCAAGAATGTCCACTTGCTGAAAAATTCTTGGTTGCAAGAGATTCAGATGAAGGAAACATTTCATCTGCTCCTCCTAATGGCTCCCCTGAGCGCAAGCACTTCATTATCCTCCTGCAAAATTCTCATATGTCTAATCCTGCTCCGCATACTGTTTTTCTTCACTCAAAAAATCTGCCAAGAGAAAACGTTAAACCAGCAGTATCACACACAAAATTCAAAACACAAACATCACAAAAAGCAACCGTTTCAGAACTTTCAGCTCTCTGTTCATGCATGTATAGATCAAGCAGAAATCAAGAGAACAAAAAATTTGGAATTTCCAACAAAAGTGATCCTGAGTAGGCTGAATGCAGTGGAATTTGAAATCCAATAACATAAAAACAAACATATCACAAAATTATAAGAAGTAATTAGATACAATACAAGCATAACTCTTTAAGCTGACTCACACAAACCCCCTCATTAAAAAGTAAAATCCGAATCAAACCCATTCAAATTCCCTCCTCTTCATTCTGCTTCATTGACGCAAAACAAATTAAACTTTCTAAAACCACACATCAAATAGAAATGAAGAAAAAGAACCAACTTCACAAAATTGAAACCGACCCACAGTGACTCAGCAACTATAAAATTAAGAAGAGCAAAAAAAAAAAAGTTAAACATTCAGAAGAAAAATCGTATCCTTCAACAGCAAAAATACATAGAAGAAGACCCATTAGTGAATTTGAGCAATCAAATCAAAGCCACCTTTCAATCAACCAACGAAAGCAAAAAAGCAAACTAGCAAAGCATCCAAAAGCCTGAACAGAACCTTTTCTTATTTACTTTTTTTATAGCTGAGTTTTGTTTTTTTTTTCTCTGCCCTTTTTCCTCGTGTATGATCAAATTCACATAAACTGAAATTGGGGTAGAAATAGAACAGAAACAAAACGAAAATTGGAACATAAGCAAGCAAGAAAATTGAAGGAAATAGCAATGACAGCAAGGAGTGGTTTGGCTTATGTTTTGTCTATGTCTTGTTCTGGGGTCCACAGAGGATGTTTTATTATTGCTGAGGGTAATTCGTCGCCACGTAGGATAATTTTTAACGTTGTTGCAATGTTGGTGAGTGAGCTGGCTGCCATTGAAACGGTCATTAACTACATTGTCCACCTTCGCATTAATTCATAGTTACTCGTATACCCCACAAATGTAATGCATATTTTTGTGTTTTATTATGGGGTTTATATTTAGAGTAGGATTATATTGATATATTTTTTTTTACAAATTTATAAACTATATTATGTCTGACCGGTAATACTTTATTCAAGAGTGTATTACCAGTCAGATATAGTGTAGTTTGTAAGAATAGAATTTGTAAATATAACATTCCTCTTATATTTATGCTGCGTAAAATTTTTCTGTCACATTGGTATAAAAGTCAGTGTTTTAAAATCCCGCTTCATCCCGTGTCCGTGTTGATCCCTCGGGGTCATTGACCCCCTCTCTCAAGGTTCAAGTTAGTAGTTAGACTCTATTTGCACGTTGACTCCTCTAATCCCGAGTTGAACCTGTGACTCCCGGGTCAGAGGGGAAAAGGGGTCACTACATTTTAAAAAAAAAAACAAAAATTATACATGAAATGATGTCGTTTGATGAGTGAAAAAAAACATAAACAAAAAATCGTTGTTGCCTAAATTTAGAACTAGATCTGAAATTTGAATCGTTCTTTTTCTTCTCTTTAGATCTTCTCTCCCATACCCAGACTTAGTCTCCTTGTTCTGATGATCTCCTCCATCATGCTGGTTCTTCTCTCCCCACCGTTAAATTATCATGTCGCCGTCTTTCCTCCGCTATTCTCTATTGGGTAAAGGATCTCTTTTCACATTCTGATGATATAACTTTTCATTAACTCCATTGAAATATGTGTCTTATACTTTGATTAGTTTGTGAATATTAACTTGTGGATGTAATTGATTAAATTATGTTAAGTATATTTTGAATCTTTAAGAATTGGTGGTTTGATTTTTTTTGAATTTTTCATATAGAATATATATTTGGGATAAGTTATTCTACTTACTATTTTTTCTGCCTATCTTTGCCTACCACTTTCCAATACTGTTATATTAGAATCTAAAGAGGAGAGATAAAGATAAATGTTAATTAAGATTTTGGTCTAATGGTCTTTTAGAGTGGTAGGCAAAGGTGGGCAGAAAAAATGGTAAGTAGAATAACATGTCCCTATATATTTATATTCTTTAATGTATAAAATTGGGGTAGCGAAGTGATCCCGTGACCTTCCGGTTGAACCCGTGACCCTTGACCTGGGCAGAGTTGATGGTCGGGCTGGGTTTGTAAACACTGATAAAAATGAATGAGTGCCACTAATCCTTTCTTTCTTTTCTCTTTATAATAAAGTTCGTCCATTCTTATACTAGTGTGACAGAAAAAAAAAATTGCCTTAAAAACAGAAAAAAAATTCAATGTTAAATTTTTTCATTGACTTGATTTTTAATATGAAAAAATTAACCCACCACGGCGAATAAAAATTAATATAATTATTAAGGTGATACAACATAATGACTCTACTAATATCTAAGGCTATGTTATTGATGTAATTGTGATGTAATATAATAGCAATACATATTTCCAATTATCTGTAATTCAGGTACAGCCAAACTTCAATCTCTCTTATTCATATTTTGACCTTTTACCAATTTATTTGTTTTATATTTCCTTTTCGTAAGTGAGACTATCAAAAGGAAGTTGATCGGTGAATGAACTCCGTTATCAGACTGAAACTAAGCATTTTTTTTATATCTTTTTATATTAAATTAGAGTTTATTTTATGAAAAAATAATTATTAAATCTTTCATTTTAATGTCTTTTAAAAAAATGGCACATGTTATTTTTTTATTTTAATTTAAATTCTTTTGAACTACTTTTATTTTATTTTATTTTTATAATTATATTTTTCCTTTTTTAATACATATCTTTTTCTTCTTCTTTTTTTGGTAAACATAATCGATATCTTTTACATTTTACTTAAATTAACAGAGAAATATTTTTTATAATGTTAATTTTTTTTATTTATATTTATTATATTTTTTATATTTTACTTAAATTCAAGAATATACTTTTAAATTCTTTAGAATAATTTAGGGATAGTTGCACAAGGTACAACATTAAGCAATGCAAATGGCCTGGTAGTTCTCTGCCAACCTTTTATTATTTTATTAAAAAATTGTAAGAATTTGATTGTGTAACTGAATGTTTAATTTATAGTCTATTCACATGGTATATATTCGTCTAGTGCTAATGTAACCCCTTGAGCTTATGTAATTAGCTCTTTTGAGTATGAGTAACTGGATAAAATATTTAAAGACCGAGACAAATTGTATTTAACTTGAAAATCTATTATCTCTCTGAAAATTTATATATGAACTCCATTATCCACCAACTGCAAAGTCAATAAGAGAACTAGGATGATGGAAACAGTTTTGATCAATAAGTGAACATGAGTTGATTCAATTCTATTTAGAGGATATCCAAGCTTCTGTGGATTAAATCGTTTCTAGCGTTACTAGGAGTAAATTTGACTTGGTCAATACATTTATTTTGTGACAAACTAGCTGCTCCTAATATAGCTTCTAACTCCGTGTTTCACGAACGTACTAAACACATAAAATTGGATTGCCATTTTATTTGTGAACATTTGCTTGCCAAAACCATTGTTACAGAGTATATACGTTTCGACATACAATTGGCGGATATTCTTACTAAAGCTTTAGGTCGTAAGAAGTTTCATGCACTTTTGTGGAAGATGGGCATTTCAAATTTCCATGCCCCATCTTGAAGGGAAGTATTTGAGCACAGCCTCACGAAAGTCATCATATTGATAGATCAGCTTTTGAATATTTGTTCCTGATGTAACAAACTTAACCATATAGGATAAGTATTAGCAACTTTCTGTTTATAGTTTTTCTTATTTATTTTTTATCCGTTTGTTGTAACTCCTTCCTTGTACATGAGCTTATATAAGGCAGATTTGATAATCAATGAAAGCAACTCAAGCTTGTACGAAATTTCGTTAAATCATAACTTGAATAAAAGTTACAAGTTTTTGTAAGGAGAATAATTAAACCGTATAGGGGAGCTCATAAATGTAAAAGAGGAATGTTACATTACATCCATTTATACAAATAAAAAATGGGGAAAATATAAATTTTTACAAATCTGTCTTCTAACATGTATTGATCTCGTATTTATCTCTCTCTATCTATCCATATGTATGTGCCCGCGCGTGTGTTTTTTAATAAGGAATACTGCACATCATAGCTCACAATTTTAACATAATATTGACTTGTTAGGTAATTTCGATATACCATAATGGCTAAGACGACTCAGACTAGAGACCTTAGAAAAATTAAAAAATAAAATCTTCATAGGACGTTATATGTGTGAAGGGAGAAAATAACTTAATTTTAATCATACAATTATATATAAATGGTCAAGATTGGTTTTACTTGAAAACTATTTTTGACGGTCCTTATCAAATTAAATGGTCAAATTTTGCTCTTATCACATTTGTGTATTCTCATTTGTCATCTATGTAAATATTGAATACTTATATCATGTAATAACTTTTATTCAATATGAATTTAACAAAGTCAACAGTTGAATCATGTAATATTATCTGAAGCATTGTTGTCAAAAACTAGTGTAAAAACGTAAAAACTTACGTTTTTACGTTTTTACTAGAGTGGTGCGTGTTAAAACCCAAGTAAAAATGTCCCTGATAAAAACTGGTAAAACACCGTGTAAAAACGTAAAAACGGCAAAAACTTACGTTTTTACTGTTTTGACCGCTTTTACTTAAAAAGAATTTTTTTTTAAAAAAAAAAAAAAAATCCAATTTTCGTTTCTCCCAAATCATATGCACATATCTTCATATCTTTTTGTTTGGATATATGTCTTTTATAATTATGTCTTACAAAACTACAATTCTATTATAAGTTATGCTATGAGAATTGTTTTGTGTTTTTGAATCATTGTGTGCATTGAAAGAAGTGAAAATATATCTTGATGAGCGATGATCCAAAATTGCAGAGTGTATGAAGCAGTTAGAACAGATTGATTATCCATTACTTGTTAGTTATCACTGTTTATAATTTTGATATTTAGTTATCAAAAAAAGTTTTCTTTTTAGATAGATAAGTGGCTCAACACACATCTTTATTATGTGATATTTTTTTTACATGCATATATATAATTTTATATCTTGATCTTAAGTAGTATAATGTAGACACTTTACGTTTCGTGTCGTTTGTACGTTTTACGTTTCTACCACCCCTTTCCGTTTCTACGTAGAAATTCGAGTTTGACAACATTGATCTCAAGAATTATGCACACCAAATTTTAGATAAATTGGACATTTGTAGTGATCGGTCGAGTTGAATAACACACGATTAAACCTAATCTTATAACAATTTAAGTGAGTCTTCTCTAGAGACGTGTTAAAATGTGTTGAAATTCACGGGTTAAAATGTAAAGCCTTATATTTGTCTCTAACCTATTAGCATTTTTTTGTGGTAAGATCTATAATTTAGCGGGTTGGATTAAAACTTATCTATGAACCAAACATTTTCCTTCATCAAAATTTTATTATTTTAAAAATACAAAATATATAAATTTACATATTCATAAATGTAAAATAAATTTTAAACATAATATAAGCAAATATAAATTTTCAGAATAATATGTTTCAACAAGAATTTCATCTTCAAATCAGTAAAAATAAAATTTTCTATTAACGTCTAAGCATGTTATATATCCAAACTTGCATTGAAACATATTGTATCCAATGCAATTTTGTAGTTAATAATAAGTAAAATTGTTTTTGTAACGGTAGCCATTGAAGAAAATCAATGGTTTAATTTTCAAATATATAACATACTACGAACA